ACCAGCACTTTCTACACACCTATCTCTAAATTAACGAGCCTGGTTACAAAATAAAAGTAAACAAATGAAATGATCGATTGTTTGCAATGGAAACAGAAATAGAGGGAAAGACAAAAACCGAAGAACTGATTAATCTGAGAATAAGAATTGATATAAAGTTAATTGAACAAAACAAAACGCAGAATTTTCAGTTAAATTTGGATACCGGTCACGGTACATTTAGTGTTAATTTTCTATACGTTCTAAACCATTTCTATTTTGATGTAATAGAAAGCAAACCTGGTGATATGGACCAATTTGCCATTTTTCCTTATGACGCAAATGAATTAATGCTGTACGCGCAGGACATGAGCGCGGTAAAAAGAACCCAATTGCGCGGACCGATTACAACTGAGTTCCGCGACAACCATTACAAAGGAGGCAGTGAAATTTGATTTCACGTCCCCGTATCGTTTTTCGCCACGTGACTCTGCCCCGCGGCCTGAATCCGCAATTGTCCCTGGAACACTGTTACCACCGTCAGCTGATACAAGTGGCTGTACGTGATCTGGTAACGGAATGCCAGCGGAAAAGTATAATTGAATTAATAAACTACGACGAAATCTGGCGGCGGACTTGTTTACCGCGGCACTGCCTGGCCGAGCATTGCGGAACTCGAGGAGTAAAATGTTTTACGCAAGCCGTGACTTCTGTCGCAACGAATTTGGGTGTACATATTTGATACCGGCCGGAATGAAATGACTAGCGAACAATTAATCCCGTGTTTGTCTCGTATTTTTGTTCAGTTCTCTACGATCGTCGATTCTCGGATCTTTTATAACTAACCTCTTTGATTTATAATTTTATTTACAATTACACACGCGGAAGCTGCTTTAGAATTAGTAATTACTAATTGAGGAAAGAAATTATAATATATTATACATTTAAATGTATTGTGAAAAATAATGCGAGGTATAGAAATCAATTAAGTTATGACAGTTAAATTATAGAAATGAATGTCCGTAGATGCAAATTAATAATTTTTTTCATCTGTAAACTCTACATTGCTAATATTTATATAATTCAATTTTATATCTATAATACA